TCAGTGGTCTAAAGCACCTACTTAGAACAAGCTTAGCAAAGCACAGGGACCGCGGTTCAATCCCCAGCACCACATGCCAGCCAGCCCCGCCCCCCCCCCCCGTGGGCTGAGCTGGTCATACACACACACACATAAATAAATAAAAAAATTTTTTTAATAAAATAAAATAAAAATATATAAGTAGCATACAGTGTAGCAATCTAAACACTAGCAGTATATCAAAAGTCCAAAAATCCCTATACCCAAGTCCCATGGACACTCTCATGATCCTTACTGAAGCATTATACAGGATATCTAAGAAATGGAAGAAATCTTAGCACCTCTCAATGTGTAAGTAGATAAAGATAATGTGGTTTACACAAAATGTCAAACTGACTGCTTAAAGAAATGAGGAATGAAATTTTCTCATTTTTAGCAACATGAATGAGGGTGGAAGATTTGAGGATAAATGAAACCAGCCAGGCCCTGAAAACCAGTAGTGCATATAAACACATAAACACATGGATTGAATAAATGTTGATCTCATGTAAGTAGAAGCACAATGCAGGGAGTATTGTGGGCCAGAGATGGGCAGTTATTTGTCAAAAAATATAAAACTGAAGTTAGAAAGAAGATTGTCTTGGAGAAAGTCAGTGCACTGCATGGTGGCTATACTCAGGAATAACATATTATATTCTTAAAAGCTGCCTAAAGAATGCACTTTGATAGAAAATAAACATATACAAAGAGTTCAACAGCATTTGTTATTCAAGAAATGAAATTCAAAACAACACTGAGATTGTGTCTCACCCTAAGGAAGAATGGCAATCATAAAGAAATCAACTAGGGACAAATCCTGGAGAGGCTGTGGGGAACCGGAACTCTTCTCCACTGTTGGTGGGACTATGGATGGGACAATCTCTGTGGAAACCAGTATGGAGATTTCTCAGAAAAGTAAGACTGGAAGTCTCATTCAACACAGCCGTATCCCTCAAAGGTATTTTTCCAGAAGAATTAAATACATTCCACAGTGATGTATGTGCACCCACAGAAGCACAATTTGTCATAGCTAAATCTTGGACACAATTCTAACACCCATCAAGAAAGGAAAAAAAAACATGATATATGTGAAAGATACAAAATACTATTATTTGAAAATTTTATAAAATTAACTATAACAAAATAAAAAGTTATAAAGAATTACTGTGACTATGCCTGCAAGTATAATTGTTTAGATAAAATAAACAAATTCTGACAAAGGCATGACTCACCAGCAACTTGAGTATTGCATATTGTGTAATTGAACTGGAGACAAGAGAATAAAAATTTTATATTGGTGAAAATTGCAAAAGAATTGAAATAAAAACATTGCCATGCCTTCAGTTCTCTTTGTTATTCAATATTTTAAAAAAGTACTAGTCCATTACAATTACTATTTGGAAAATGAAATGGAAAAAGTCTCTACAAAGGAAAACAGAATATCTTCTATCACCTAAAGTTCCCTTCATTACCACTGCCAGCCCTGAATCATGAAAAGATCCTAGGGAAATGCTTTGCATGAAATCTCAGAAAACAGGGAATTCCAGAACTTACTGGATTCCATAGACCTTCCCTTCCACATTCCATTTTGCACTGTATGTCATAAGAATTGAAATAATATTTTCCCTTTTTGTGCAAACATGCAATTCTTCCAACAAACTTTGAAAGTGATGCACTTGTGTGAGGTACGAATTAGACAAAGAAATTCATGGGCCTAACTAGAAAGCAGGGCATTGCAGAAGACAAAGAAACACTATTCATATATCCTAAATCTCAGAAGTAGAACTTCTGGTGAGTCTTACCTGCAATAAGGCCATGGCTGACCCCTGCAGCCGAAGTTGCACATCTAAGATGAGCGCCCTCACCGACCCAGAATCCTGGGCCAGCTTCTTTTCACACTCTGCCAGGATCCTCAGAGCATCTTCTTCTTCTTTCTCTAGTTTCTGCAGGTGTTTTTTCTCCTCAGAGTCCAGCACATTTCTCATTTTCTTAAACTCATCCCGGACAGTTTCTATCTCCCCCTGTATTTGATTCTTCAATGATGAGAAAGAGAGGGACACTTGGTCACAGGAGGTTGCAAGCCAGAAAAATAACTTTTTTCACAGGTCAATTCAAAGGGTGAGGGAGGCGGACAGGAGCAGGAAGCAAAACGTTCTGTGATTTACCCTTCCTGCCATTAAAATCCATGACAGTAAGGCAACCTTCTCAAGGCTCCCTGACCCATAGGAGAAACACAAACCTGAAATCCTATATCCCTACCATCTCCCTGCTTTAAACCTCATTCCACAAATGCACTCCCTGTCCAAACTGGAATATGGAAGAAACAATGTAGACCCATTGTGTAGTGTCAGTCTCAAGAGAATCTGTCTCAAAAGCCAGCAAGCCCAGGAGCTCAGCATCCGTTAGCCTCCAGGTCTGCAGCCCTCAGTGCAAACACTTTCCTCCCAGGGCCACACTCAAGAGTGACAGTCATTCTCTAGACTGCAGTGCCAAAGGAAATGCATTCACAGGATTCATCAAATAACTTTGGGATTCTATAAGGGTCAGAGAATAAAGAAGGGGCGTCCTCCCCAGGGCCCTGCCGGATTTCTGTCTAACACCCCAAGGAATGGTGAACTCCTGCCTTCCAGGAAGTTTTTTCTTCTTCAATATGAGCTTCCCACTTCTCCAACTCTTTCTCGTCCATCTTCAGCTTTTGTAGCACTTTGCCGAGCATCTCCTGTGAGAAAGGAATCACAGCAGAGTCAAGCTATGAGCTCCTCAGCACCTGGAGAGTGGATGAATGTGGGTGAAATCTAGCTGATCTGGACTAGGGAGAGAGCTCAGCAGTCTAAGTGCCTGGCTGGCAAGCAGAAGGACATGGATGGTTTCCATCCCTGGTACCACTGTGCCTGCCACCTACATCAGGCTTAGTGGCACATGCCTCGAATCACAGTGCTAGGGAAGGTGAAAAAGGAGGATTGCTATGAGTCCAAATTGTATAAGGAGAGCCCACACCATTAAATAAATACATAAACAAAAGACTTTTTAAAAGAGAAAGAAATCTAGTTGATCCCATGAGAAACCTGAGTTTACTGAAAATGAGAAAAGGCTGATGAGATGAACACCAGAGGAGAGGAATGTTCTCTTTATGTCCCTAGGGCATTCTTCTTGAAGTATGAAGAGCCCTTCATCAAGGGTAGACTAATTCTTCTGACCTATAACTGAAAGCTCAGTTTACATTGAGACAAAAGTTGTACATGAATTAATCTCATTTATTCTTTTGTGGAAATAAGTAATCAGAGCTTCTCTGGGCAACAAATCTCTACCCATCTAATATAACACATGAATTTTTTTTGTCTTCGAAATATTATTCTAATATTACTGCAGGTGCTTTTTCTCCTCAGAGTCCAGTACATTTCTCATTTTCTTAAACACATCCCGGATAATTTCTATCTCCCCCTGTATTGTATTGTATTGTATTGTATTGTATTGTATTGTATTGTATTGTATTGTATTGTATTGTATTGTATTGCAATCAACTAGAGTGCCCAAAATCATAAGTTGTGCATCAGAAAATAAGCATAAAATAGACAGAAACCACAGACCTGAGTTCTATGGTGGAAACTAATTAAACTATAGTGCATAGTGAAGTTTACCATCAAGTATTGTTTCCTAGTCTATCTTCCCAGAACTCTGATCTCTTACCCGATATTCCCGTTCAGCCTCCTCCATTAAAAGAGTGCAGTGACCACGGTGCTTCTGAGAACGCTCACAAAGCCAGCAAATGACCTCCTCATCCTCTTTACAAAACAGCAGGAGTTTCTCCCCATGGAGCTCACACAGATCTGCCTTTGGGGGCAGTGGGAATGTCCTGAGTCTCTCCACTATGTTGGCCATATGTCGACTGGACCTCAGGTTTTCAAACTGGTACGTTATTCGGCACACGGGGCAGTGGCCCACTCCTTCTTCATGTTTTGTGGACTCATAGTTTGAGGTGATGCAGAGTTTGCAGAAATAGTGGCCGCAGTCTGCGCTCACAGGATCCTTCATGAGCTCCAGGCAGATGGGGCAGGTCACCTCCTCCTTGACATTCTCTAGGACTGAGGAAGCCATAGAAGCTGATTCCCTCCTCCTGTCTCTTCAGACTCTGAGGCTTCTCCTGCTCTGGACTCTGAAGTTGGGAAAATTAAAGTAAGGCAGGTAAGAAAGGTAGGACTAGAAAAAATGAATAGTGACTGGGTCAAAATCACATAGACATTAAGCCCAAACTATTTAAAATCAAAAAGAGAAAAAGGAGTAAAACACACAAAGGCGTTTACTGAATTCATTCTCCTTATATCATAATCATTTCATGCACTTTACTTCCAGTTCATATCATATGATGAAATTTATATAGAGAATGATTTTTATTTTCCCTTCCTTTGCTGGAAACAAGGACAAATGGGCTCCTTTTCTACCAGAATTCTTATATAATCCTTATTTTTCTTTCTCCCACCAAAATCACAAGGATAAAATCCACCAAACTCATACCACACGACCCTACCTTTGCTGATAATATGGTCCCATTCTTTTGGTTTTTTTGTTTGTTTGTTTGTTGTTGTTGTTGTTGTTGTTGTTTTCAGAAATGAGAATTGAACTCAGGCCCTTGTGCTTGCCAGGGAAGCGCTTACTCTACTGAGCCATCTCCCCAGCCCCTATGGTCCCATTCTTATACTTACTACACAAGTTATCATCTCAGAAAGTTACGCTTAACTTCCTCATTTGTACAGTTTCAGGTCTTGTTTTTCATATGTAGTTAGTTCTTTTTAACAATAAGACGTAAAAATTTAATCCTTTTATTACATGTATGAATGGAATATAATAAGGGAAGCCCAAAAACAATACGGTGCTTCCTTTGTTCATGACCTTGATTCTTTCCATGATCTGCCTGCAAATTCAGTTGGATGAAAACAGAATTAAATTCCATGCTTGGCTTCACTGTTGTCCGTACAGAGAAATCTGAGTTGTTCCCTGCCCAGTTCAGTTTGCAGCCTGAATCATGGAGAGAATTGAGTTTGTGAACCAAGGTGCCACTGTCTGCTTTCATGACTTTCAGCTGGAATTAACCCATTGCATCCCCCTCCAGAACTCTTCCCTCTAGGCCACAGAATAAAATAAGATGTGGAACTATAGAGGTGGATCGACACTCAGAGTAATATGGCTGTTCATGTCAGCTTCTGAGTACAGTATGGCTCTAGGGAATCATGATTATAAAAGCTAGCATTTTGTCTTGGCTTTGAAATTTACCAAGAACATAGAACACAGCCTCAATCAAGCTATGAATACTTATATATTCTAGGGAGGGAAGTGGCATAAATATAATTTCAGAATTCCACATCAGAGATGTGACAATCATAATCCCAGAAGTATTGGATGTTGCATTTTTAGGGAAGCCCCCAAATATTACACATGATTGTCTGGCACATTATTATTGATATCAACAATAGATATTATTAATAAATCATAGTCATAACTATGTCCTAACAGCTTGACTCAAATCTGAAAAGAAAGATGATGTCAAACAGAGGCCAAACACAGTTTAAACAAATACTAGGGACTTGGCATTCAACTTCAAATGCATATGAAATAAATAACCAGAAATATCTGAGGAAACAAACACGAAAGAAATGCACCTGCAGTTACAAAATGGAATTACAGATCGAAGTTGTTATCCTAAAATTCGAGCCTAAAAACACAATGTTTTAACTAAAGCCAAAAGAAGGAAAATTGGGATAAAAAAGAGACAAATGTGTTAGGTAGAAGAAATTACACTTTAACTAGCTTGTGCATATTCATGTGACTTTATTCATGTGTACTTAAGTGACTTTGAAAAAGCCAATAGGGGCACTCTGCAAAGAGCAGCCAAATGTGTCCTCTCATGAACACTTAAGGACTCTTCCTCAAGGAAAATGAGAAACTCCCCCTGGCATTGGTCAGTGGAAGTATTCTACCTGCTGGCCAACACTGTGTGTGGAGTCATCCCAAACACATCACAACACTTGAAAGCTCCCCACTGTCGGCCTGCAGCTCCACACTGTCATTCTGCAAACAGAAGAGCCCTGTCAACGGAGACAAGATAATCTGCCTTGGAGGTCAGTGTCCTGCACACTCAGCCAAAGTGAAACCACAGGTGTAGGCAGCAACCAAAGAAGGGGACTGCAGTGGGGTGTCTCTCAGCTGGAGAAGGAACCCACCCTCAGCAGAGGGAGCCTTCCCTACTTACACCCAACTCCTATAGATCTCCTTTTTTTAATTTTCTTTTTTATTTTCTTTTATTGAGAAACAAATATCAATGAGACAGTTTCTAGGCTGATTAATAGGACATTTTCATATTTTTTTATTCATTTGTGTGTGTGTGTGTGTGTGTGTGTGTGTGTGGCCAGCTCAGCCCACCAGGGGGCAGGGCTGGCTGGTATGTGGTGCTGGGGGATTGAACCGCGGTCCCTGTGCTCTGCCAAGCTTGTTCCAAGTAGGTGCTTTAGACCACTGAGCCATCTCACCAGCCCCGACATTTTCAATAATTAATACCTTGCACATTGTTATCTTCTTAGTGGCTATGCATAGTACAAAAGGCAGACAGGATATCTTGCCCAAACACCATAACTACAAATCTTGCTTCTCATTGAATTAAGCAAAAGTAGCTGTATATCTATCCTAATTATTCTGTATATAGAAATACAAAATGGTCCTTCTTTGTGTTCCTTTTTTTGTCTGGTCCTGTCAGAGATGGGTGTACTGTTGGCACAAGCAATGGCTGTGACACACCCACGTGGCTGACACTGACAAAGGGTCTACAAACTGCCGTACAAGGTTACAGGATAATTCCTGAGGGGACTTGACTGACCTTATCAGATACAAAAGTTACATTTCTTGTTATATAGGTCTTGCTTTATCTTGGTCAACTATCCACCAGAAAAATATAAAAATGAGGTATATAAATTAAAGCCATATTAATATGCTGAGATATAAAAGGCTCTAGTCAACAACTTCTGTGGCTAACCCAGTACTATTGTGGACTGCCGGACTGTGTTGGATTGTTTTGCTGAATTCAAGCACCTATAATATTTAGATGACAATAGAATACGCATCTCTGACAGGACTAAACTCCTCCAGATCTTCAGCCTCTGAAGCAGGAAGCAGCAAGCTGGGCCTCTCCTCTGCCACAGCAAGTCTTCGAAAGCCCAAGGAACTTACCCAAGTAAATGCACCTTTTTCTTCTAAATTGTTCAGAGCTCTGTCCACCACAAAATGCTAATCACAGGTTTGGAAAGCTGTGAAGTCCCTGCTGAGGTGGGAACAAGTCCGCAGCTTGGGTCCTATTTCCTCACTGAGGGAACCTAGTAGGAAATGAAACTGAAAGAGTTTGGG